GGGAACTACCTCACCTGACCTGGATGAGTATATTTTTATTAATACTCACTATACTCTATGGCTTTGTATTTGTGATACCACTGGCCACCAGGGTCCTATCGATTGGCCTTTGATCTGTATGCGTTGCATATTGAGTGAACCACTGACCACCAGGGAGCTGATTTATGTGGGCCTGGATTTATATTATATCAATGTGAGTCCTGGTTGCTTGGTTTTTGTCTTGTGTTCTTAAATAAACGTACTTTACAATTAGCGCTTTCTTGCCTCCCGGCTCGTTTTGTAATGAGCTTATGCAAGGTGGCGTTTTGGATTTGAAAGCCAGAAGGGGCCTGGACAGCGTTGTACCTGTGACCCAGATGTCCATATATGACCAGATGGTGCCCAGGCTGTTGACCAGACCATGATGCCCGGTTGCTGTTAATTACATACAATGCTCATATTGTGTGTATTTGTGGTAAGCGCACAACCTCACTAATTTCTCTTATTTCATAGTTTGTGATCTGGAACATCATTGGATCATTTCCATTTTTTCAGGCTGGAATATATGAACTATTATATGAACTGCTGTATTGGTACTTCATATCATAAACAGTCCCGTGCTTATTATCTGTTCTCTAGCGCTACATACCCCATTCATAGTTTATGTTCCAAGGTAATGAGGATTACCCTGTATGTTAGCTGCTCACCTGATCTGTTTGCGCTCACTTACCCACCCTTTATATCTGTATTATGATTGGTTGTCTGACATGTATGTTGTATGGAGATATTCGTTCGATTGATAACGTTCTGTCGCAGTCTATCAACTTGCCAGCGTTGAAATTGATTGAAAGCTCATTAGTTCAATTAAATGGCAGGTCTGTGTTGTGTTATGTTTCTTATTCAGTTCAGTCATTTCTGTTGTATCGAATGATCGATTGAATGATCGTATCGATCTGTATGTATAGTCACCCTTTAGACATTAGGCTTGTAAAACCACTGTGTTATTTCATTGCAAGGAAATCAGGTAAAAATGGAAAAGGGAAACCTGTGCTGATGATAACTTTATAGGCTTTTTCTGACCAAGGGAGACTGTCCCTCGGAAAAATTGTGCTTCTGTTCTGTACACTTCACTGTTTATTTCTATAGCATTTATCTATCTTAATATGCACGTAAGTCTAATTGTATTTTTTCTGTTCATTTTTTTTTTTTTTTGTTTTGTATTTTTGGTGAGTGGGCTTGGGAGCTTACTCCCTCATTAGGATATTTTTACATTCAAAATTGCATAGGCTTCCACTGATGATTTTCTTTTTGCTAGTTCCTGCCTATAATAATCTATGGGATTTAGTACTATGAGAGGCTGACCTTGAAAATGATGTAGATCAGTTCTGATTTCACTTTCTGTATACTTGATTTGGGTCACTGACCCAAAGCTAGGCAGGTTGAAATACAAAGAATCTCAGTTCATAGAGTGTCTTTGAAAATTGACCAGTAAGCTGGAAAAGTTTCCCAATCTGGACATAGGCAATAGCTGTAAATGGTAAGCATACTGTAATGTCCTACCACTGCCACCTAATGTCAGGGAATCATGTTCCCTGTGACTGCAATGATTACAGGTGTTCCTCGGTTTACGAATTTAATGCGTTCTCAAGGACATTTTTTATTGCGTAAAATTTGTAAACTGAAATGCGGTTTCCCATAGGAATACATTGAAAACCAATTAATCCGTTACGGAGGTCAGAAGAAAGTTTTAAATAGTCTCTGTCACTATAGGTCAGTGCCAGTTTTTAAATGTAATTACCGGCTTTTCTTTTTCTTTACTATAGCTTAGAGAATCAGCTGTCACTTCCCCACCAGCTAAAAGAAAGCATGTTTCCTTTTTAGTTTAGTTCCCAGAGTTAAAAGAAACAATGTTTCCTTTTTAGTTTGCCGAAATAAAAGAAACTAAGTATCCTTTAGCTCCGGGGAAAGTGACAGCTAATTCTGTGAGCTATAGTAAAGAAAATAAAAAGCCGGCTATTGCATTTAAAAATCGGCACCGACATACACTTCGTATTGCGAAAAAAATTTGTAAAACGTTTGTAACCCGAAGCATTATTTTCAGTGGATTTTCATTCGTAAACCGAAAATTACGTCAACATCTTGGTGCCAGCCGCACATTTGCGTGCAATTAAGAAAAATGTGCTGAGAGCGCTCCCAGCTCACGTGTCCGGTACTCACAGAAAGGTCCCAATCTCCTCTTTCATTCGGGACCTTTCCCGATCATGTGAATCATGGCGGTCACAATGCCCTAAACCCCGCCTCGCCTCCTGGCTTCTTAAACCCTTAAAGGGCTGGGAGGTGCCAGCGCCAAGGGGTTAACTGAGGTGTTCAGAAACCGAGGTACACCTGCACATTGTTTGGCGGAGAAGGAATGAGGTGAATGCTTACTTATCACTACCTGCAATACTGTTGGCTGCCACTAGAGGGACCAAAATCTAGCTGGCTGAGCACACAGGCGGACAAGAATTTTGTATACAATCTGGTGCACTCTTCAGACTGGGGAGCAGTCTCACATACTTTAGAAATTTTCACCAAGCTGTTCTGTCAGAATCACTTTGCATACTGTTGACGCGCACATCAGAGCCACACAGTTCAATGTCATAAAGATTAACAGTGAATTTATGCCGAGCATACAGACACTGGTAACACAATGCATTCATCTCTAGAAGTATGAATTCATAGCCTAACACAGAAACTTTATTTTTTTACCATTTTATATCCTTAGTTGAGCAGTGCATAGAATTGTGTACAAAATTCTTATACAAAACAGGAAAAGTCTATTTGCTATGGAATTAAAAAGGATCATACCAGAAATAAACCCGATCGTTTCGGGCAGTATTGTTTTATCATGCTGGTGGGGAGCACACTAATGCATACTACCGAAATATTCTGTGTTCCAAACAGGCTTCATACGTATTGGCCAGATTATTTTTAATGCTGCTCAACATCTAGATCTAGATATGGATGTGGGGCGCACTCACCTTTTGGGGGTGTTACCTCATCTACGGGAAGGAGACGGTCTAGTCTCGCTGATGATTGGGTCAGAATTAGGATTTCCAGCACTACATGGCGTCTCAGTCTTAGCAAGTGCAACAACATGGCTTCTGCAAATGAGGCCCATAAGTCATTTAGTCTGTCCCTAGGGGGTTCTGTGCCACCAGGACATACTAATATTCTGGATTTTACTAGAATAGAAGCATGACCTCTCTGATATTAGGAAATCTAATGCTGCAGCAGACAGTCTAGTGCCTCCAGTATGGGCTGACCTTGGCCCCCTGCTAATTCTGAAGCATTCCTTCAAGGGATGGTGAGGTGGCAGTTGTCTATACTCATTTGCATTGAAGCTTGATGGAAGCTTGATTGAAGCTGCTAGCTTCAGAATTGTCAGTAGTCTTCGCAGTGGGCTGATCGCTGTACAGCCTAAGGCAGGATGTTGGCTCTTAGGGTTCATGTACACTGCAGCTGATAAACTCACATTCAGCACTTTTTTCAGCAGCCCCTGAACTCACCCTAATGTTTTTTTATGTGTCCATGTACACATCTTCGTTAACAACAGGCATTTGAGTTGTCAGCCATTTTTTTTAACGCAGAAAACTTGCGTTCAGCAGTCGATTTTTATCAGCGTTTCAAATGCAAAACATGGCAAATCGCGTTTATAAGCAGTTGTGTTTGAAATTTTTTTTCAACTCTTCCAGTTCCCGATGCTATCCAGAGCCTTTTTTTCATCATGAAAAAGCATGCAAAGTGTTTTCAAGTTGCACAGATGGACAAAACCCTGAACACATGATGTTTCTACCAAGCTTGTCACACATTGTAATGACCAATTCACACCTCAGACCTCTCCCACCCTTGGAAACAACAGATATGTTAATGACCATTCACACCTCAAATTCCTCATGAAGACCCCCTGCCAGTTGGTCCTTATGACTCCAGCCACCAGACACCTTTCCCACCCTTGGAAACAAAAATGTTAATGAGCAACTCACACCTAAGCTAATCTCAACACATACTGCTGTCTCTGCTTCTGCTCTCTGTATTTCTCTGAAATAGTTAATAATTTACCACTTTTTAGTACATTCTTGGCATTTGGGAGGTTCTCCTGTGCTTATCTTTAAAAAACGCTTCTAAACGTAAACGCGTTATGCAAACGCGGCTAAACAGACGTTTTTTTAACCTACGTTTTCCAGCAGTCAGTTTCCATCGTTCAGAAGTGTCCCGTGTACATGGGACCTAAGTAGGAATCCCACTTGGGCCAGCAGGTGAATTTTTTTTTTTTTTTTGTTCCATGCCCACCATTATAGCTGGTCATAAGCTGCTACAATCCTTTGCGCTCCCTTTTAGATCCGGACAGAACTGATGATGTGTTATGATGAACAATCGATGAGGAAAATATTTCCGATGATTAAATTATTTCTTCTTGTTAATTTTATATAATTTTGAATGTAGTAGTAACTGCTGTCAGTGCTTAACTTTCATCCTGGAAGAAGTATAAACTTCTGAAGAAATTTTGCAGTAAAGCTGATTTTTCTTTTTCTGTACTTTAAGTCTGAAGAGAAAACAGTGCAAATCCACATTTCATCTGCAGCTCCCCCTGCTAGTGAAATGTGGTATTACAATGCTAAGCAGATGCTCTGCCTTTTGTAAAGGGTTGTCAACGTGGTAACCTGTCCGTATTACAAAAGCAGAAAAGAGAATTTGAATTGGAAGTCCCGTTTAATGCTAACTAATTTTGTTTTATAGGTCATTTTGTTTAGTCAGAAATGGATACTACAAACCTGACAGTAAACTACTAACTTCATTGTATACTCTTGGCTCTTCATGCATTTCTTTCTTTTCATCCTACATTGAACAGTCTGGTGCTAGGAAATCGGTGGTTTTTCAAGTTGGCATGTTCATATAGAACATTTTATTTATATTTGTGTTTCTCTTCCAGCTACAACTCAAACAACCATTCTCAATTTGGTTCTGTTTCTATTTAACAGGTGAGCTGGATCTTCTGGCTGGAGAAGTTCCAATGTCTCGCTCCCTTGGATCAAGGAGTCCTGATGCCTTTGACATGGCAGCAATGAGCAGCTCGCTTTCAGAAAGTTCCAAGCCAACCCGGAAAACACCAGAATCTTTCCTTGGGCCTAACGCTGCCTTAGTAGATTTGGACTCCCTTATTTCAAAACCCACAATACAAAATACAAAGACCTCCAATCCCTTCCTAGTAACAGGTGAGTGACTTGGTACTTGAGAGGTTAGTAGTCCAGTACAAAACCAAAATACCTAACCAGCTATTGACTGGCCTGTTTCAAATATTAAAATGGTCCTATTGTATTATGTGAAGTAAAAAGGTCAACATTCCCACTGAAGTTTTCTTTAACATCCACTTCTTTTGAACCTTCTTTTTTTTTTATATTCTAAACCATAGTTACAGATAACTATATTGTACATTCGTACATGCAGCAGCCTCCTGGTGTTCCGATGATGTTCTGATGTTTCTGGTACGCGTTGAAGCTTGCTCCACCCCTTCATGCCTACTTATTTCTAGTGGTCTGTGAGGAAGCCCATTGTACTAATGGGCTAGTAGGAATGCATGGAAAACTAGGCAAGCTGAACACATCTCAGTATCAGAGCTTTGTTTGTCAAATCAGCCTGACTTTTGGCTGTATTGACAGGGACTTGGAGGCAGCTGCAATTGTTTTCTTCAGTTCTTCAGTAATGTATGTGTTCACTTTTTTTTTTCATTTGTTTTGTTTTATCTTAGGAGCACCCAGTTCGACCACAACAAATCCATTCCAGAGCAACCAACAGTCATCTCTTACTTTGAACCAACTTCGTGCCAGCCCCGTGATGTCAATGGGACAGCCAGTTACACCAGCTGGACAAGCACCTGCAGCAATCCCATTTAGTTCTGTCCCCCCCATGGTGTCAGTATCCCCGTTAGCCCCAGGAATTCCTTTAGCCAATGTGTCACCAGTGGTTGGAATGAGTGGCCTCCCAGCTGCGGCGGTGCCTCCTGGTGTACCTCCTATGAGCTTGCCTACTATGATGCCACCACAGCAGTTGGTGACACAGCCCATTGTCCCCAATCTATCTTCACAAGCTGTGACGAGTGCTACCAATCCTTTTCTGTTGTGAGCTGTGGAATTATTGAGTTTGTAATGGCAATGACCAGGGGAGATGGGTCAAAAACTGGCATTTTCATGCTACTACCACAGAATGTCCCTGTCCCCTAATACCATCTTTTGTGGCAACCCTATATTGGCAGCACACTTGACTTTTGGTGTCTGCTTCCTTTTCACTGTGCCTCTGAATACCAAGAAATAGTATTTTGCCCTCCCCACAGTACTGCTAAAGATGTTTAGATAGAAGACCATAGATTAATTCTTGTTTTCTTGGTTAAATCAATAGTGTTATGTCGGACTTGGATGTCCGTGTTCTTTCCGTTTCCCACCCTTCATCCATTTGCATTAATAAAGCAGCACTTCACAGTGAGGTTAGTTTTTGTTTGCTTTTGGCCTCGTAGCAGTTCCAGGGTCTTGATTTTTCAAGCAGAGTGTTACTTGCTTTGAACATCTGTTCTTTTCTACATACAAAAAAAGTGTTTTACCGACACTATTTTACCTCCATCTACAACCCGAAGCATTGCTGCATTTCAACATGAACTCATGAATGGAGTATTGTTCCTTTTTAACTCGATAGGAAAGGCGTCTCTGCTGTTCTACATGTAAATATTGCACCTCACTCGAGCACTTCTGTGTTACTGGACCATGATAGGATATTGCCCTACTTAGAAATGTGTTATGGATAAAACACTAAAAATGGAGCTCTTTAAATTCCAGATCCAGCTTTCTGTTGAGAAGGGGGCTATGAGGGAGGGGGGGGTCTCCGGGGTATGTTGCCATGATAGCAGGATGTTTCCTATTTATTAGAATGAATTTGTGAATGCTGATTAAGTGGATTTTTAACCCTTAAATTTCTTCCACTTCTTTCCTATTTCCCATTACAAATCAAATCTGTGATGATGATTTATTTGATAACCACTTAATAAACTGATGGCTTTGCTTGGTGTGCTGTCCATCGACTCCTATTCAGTATATATTATATATTTTTTGCATTTGTTTTCCTTCCTTCTAGAAGCGAGAACAGTGTTTAAATAAAATCAAATCTGGGAAAGCTTAAACTATACTTGCTTTATTTTGTTTGGGTAATATTGCTTTTTAATGTGATGACAAGAGTATAATCTAAGTGCATGCATTTTTTTCCACAATTAGATTTTTGCATTTCTTTGAGAGAAGCCATGAAGTACACAGAAGAAAAATATATTTGAGAATGGTTTTACCTGTCTAAGGATATGAATTGCTGTCCATTTTTAATTTTCTGATGTACACAGCATAACCAGCCTGCAGACCTGACTTTTCTCTACTGCAGTTAGGAAATATACCGAAGTAAAAATATATAGGTGCAGCGCTAAATGATAAAACATCTAAATATACAACAAATAATATATGAATAAGTTCAATAAATAAATCTGTGCAGGCGGGAAATCCAAGGGTAGTGAAATCAGCAGCAGATAGACTTGTGACACCAGCCAATAATAAAAGTGCGCACTCACCGGAAGCGCATCGGTAATGCACATGTAATATAGTGGCCACCAGGGTAACACTAGGTAGGCAGGTGAACTTCCCTCTATGGTCTGGTCGTCTAGCCTTGGGAATTAGTAGTAATCTGCTGGATCCAGAGGTCCCCTTAAGGATGGATTAGGTGCTCAGCCTGAGTACAGGGCTCCTTTCCTCTGGTTGTAGAAAATCTCTGGGGGTTTGTTGCAAGCTTAGTAGCTCCATGAAGGAGCCAAGAAACAGGTACCATAGTGTAGTATGCTTGAGTATTTTATTATGAATAAAGTAAAAGTGCAGGGTAGTATTGTGACATCCACAGTAATGCAGAGTATGCAGCACTAACCCTAAGAAAGATGGCCGCCGGGCTTCCTCGTAGCTCCGGCGACGTCACGCTCTGTTTGGTTGCTACCTAGGTCTTGTCCCTGCCCCTATCTGTGATTGGTCCATGAATATATTCTTTAACACAAGAACACTGCAGAACAACTGACTGGCTCCTTTTACAGTTTCTCCCTCTTCCACTCTGAGTCCTGTGACATGGGTTTGCAAAGGCTGATACTAGATCCAAATCCGTTACTTACACTAGTTGCTATTAAAAATACACTTAATGATTTTACTTTTACAAAGATCTCTCTATACAGTGAATATTTTTAGATTTACAGTCTCTAAGAAAATGTAATTATTTCATTTTATGCACCAAAACAAACAGCTAAAAATACACTGCTCAAAAAAAGTAAAGGTCAGTTAAGTAGCAGAGGGGGTTATTAATCAGTTTAAGCTGTGTTGGTGTTCATGAAATTAACAGTTGCATTATATGGGCAACAATGAGACCATGCCCAAAATAGGAAAGGTTTTACAGGTGGAGGCCACTGACATTTTTTTTTCCCTACTCTTTTCTGACTATTTTTCACTAGTTTTGCAGTTGGCTAGGGTCAGTGTCACTACTGGTAGCATGAGGCAATACCTGGACCCTACGTGCCATTGCCAGAAGGTTTACTGTGTCTCCCAGCACAGTCTCAAGAGCATGGAGGAGATTCCAGGAGACAGGCAGTTACTCTAGGAGAGCCGGACAAGGCCGTAGAAGGTCCTTTACCCATCAGCAGGACCGGTATCTGCTCCTTTGTGCAAAGAGGAACAGGATGAGCACTGCTGCCATAGCCCTATAAAATGACCTCCAGCAGACCACTGGTGTGAATGTCTCTGACCAAACAATCAGAAACAGACTTCACGAGGGTGGCCTGAGGACCTGACGTTCTCTAGTGGGCTCTGTGCTCACTGCCCAGCACCATAGAGCTCGATTGGCATTTACTATTGAACACCAGAATTGGCAGGTCCACCACTGGCGCCCTGTGTTTTTCACAGATGAGAGCAGGTTCACCCTGAGCACGTGACAGATGTGAAAGGGTCTGGAGAAGCCTTGGCGAATGTGGACATTTTTGAAAAAACTATTTGTCCAGGGACTAAATCGTGGCCCCAATCTACTTGTCCAGCTAAGCATTTTTTTTTTTTTTTTTTTTACCAAAACCGTATTTAAATCAAAGGTGGTTTTAGGAATGTCTGTGACTTTTAAAAACAAAAGAGGCTTTATGGCGACTTAAACGTGTAATATTTTTAACATTGCTCTGTTTATCTCCCCCTCCCTGCTGTCTCCAGCACCGCACTCGGGGACTAGCAGGGAGGGAAGAGACCTTGCAATGTGATGAACGATTGGCTGCTCGTCAGGAAATGGTGGGTCAGGGCTTATACTCTATCCCTTTTGCTGCCAGAGCAGTTTTTGCGTTTTCGCTACCAGAGCTGTGTTTGTATTTTTCGGACACGTTTAAAAAATAATTTTAGGCCTGAAGATTACATAAAACCCCCAAACATTATATATATATTTTCTGAAAGCAGAGACCCTAGAGAATAAAATAGTGGTAGTTTTAAATTTTTTTATGTCATGATTTTACTGCGAAATTTTAGTAAAAAAATACAAGCAAGTTAATTTTGGGGCACAAAAAGCAATAAATTACCCTATTTTTTTGTAAAATATAAAAGATGAGGTTGCAGCACGTAAATAGATATCCAACTTGTCAAACCTTAAATTTCTGCGCGCTCGTGAAATGGTGACAAACTTCAGTACCCTATATTTTGTATAAGTTGATACTTTTAAAGCTCCTTTATAGGTCCTCAGTTTAGCGTTACGGAGGAGGTCTGGTGCTAGAATTATTGCTCTCATTCTGGCGTGCGCGGTGATATGTGATGTGTATAGCAATCAATGGTTTCATGTGTAGGCACCCCAGCGTGTACTTTTACGCTTGTACGTGCATATATATGGGTTTGGATGCCTCTTTTTTTTTTTTTTTTTTTTATATATTTTTTTTTTTGGGGGGAGGGTGGGGGGGATATGTGCTTGGGCGTTTTTACAATAACAAAAAACCTTTTTTTTTTTTTTTTCATCACATAGGGAACAGAGTTCCCTATATGTGATGATTTTTGGTGACAGGTTCTCTTTGAGACATGCAGGGTCTTTTAGACCCTGCATGTCTCCCCTCTGCTCCACTGAATGTAATGTGGTGCACATTGCACTGCATTACATTCTTTCCCAGGGTTTGTATTACAATCTCTCAAAGGGAACCCAGAAGTGACATTGTAACGTCACTTCTGGGTCTGCACAAGCAGGGGATGGGCAAGCGCGGAGAGGCTGGCACTGGGGTGGAAGCAATTGGCAGCAGCGCTGCCGCCGAATAATTCCACCTGACAGGTGAGCGTGCCACTTGCCCACAGCAGGGCTTAAAGGCAGAAAAAATAACTACCTGCCCTGTGCCTGGAACTACATGTCCCAGATGTTGGGCGATAGGAATCCAACATCCCTGTGCTGCATGTAACCTCATCCACTATAACCATTTTTGGTGGTGGGTCAGTGATGGTCTAGGGAGGCATATCCATGGAGGGACGCACAGACCTCTACGGGCTAGACAATGGCACCCTGACCGCCATTAGGTATTTGGATGAAATCCTTGAACCCATTGTCAGACCCTATGCGGGTGCAGTGGGTCCTGGGTTCCTCCTGGTGCACGACAATGCCCAGCCTCATGTGGCGAGAGTATGCAGGCAGTTCCTGGAGTATGAAGGAATTGATACAATTGAATGGCCCCCATGCTCGCCTGACCTAAATCTAATAGAACACCTCTTGGACATCATGTTTTGGTCCATCTGATGCAGCCAGGTTGCACCTCAGACTGTCCAGGAGCTCATTGATGCCCTGTTCCAGATCTGGAGAAAATACCCCAGGACACCATTCATCGTCTCATTAGGAGCATGCCCTGACGTCAGGCATGCATACAAGCACTTGGGGGCCATACAGAATACTGAGTAGCATTTTGAGTTGCTGCAATGAAACTTCAGCAAAATGGACTAGCCTGCTGCATCATTTTTTCACTTATATTTTCAGGGTGTCTTTGATGGAAATGAAAATGATCAACCTGCAGAGGACTGAATTCAAACAATGGAACATCCTTACGTTCCTAGCACATTACCCAGTCT